AATAATTTCCTTTACAGAGAACTCGTTAACAATTTTAGTTGCAATGCGAGGGTTAAGCTGACACTCATCGCACAGTCGCCGAACGGACAAAACATGAGCAAAGGTGAGTGCTTCCCGATAGACACACTCCCGACACAACACGTGTGTCCACCAAATGGCATATTATTGTGAATTTTTGGTTTTGATTACAGGCTTTGAACGCAAATTCACATTTGAACATAGGAATGGTCGTGGTTGCACACGATTCATTGCATTTACCGTAATTTACACATTTTCATATTTATTGACATTAAATATATGGTTAATTTGCTTTTGTTGATTACCCGGTGTTTAGGATCTATTGAACGACGAAAAGGGTTTCATTAAAGACGATACGATTGTTGTGGAGGCGATGATTAGCACAGATCGATCCTATGGTGTGATTATGCGCTCAAATGTTGGCAATATTTTTGGCACAATTCAAAGGGTAAACACTTTTTATGTTTAACTTTTTTAAAGTTATTTTTTTATTTAGAAATGCGTTGATTTGAATCCCGAATTGATTTACTTTATGAACGAATCCGAGTGTAATGTTGTGTTCAAAGTTGAGGGCAAACGGATTCCGGCCCTCAAAGAGTTGTTGATCTATAGAAGTGATTATTTTCGGTCAATGTTTTCGGGAAATTATACCGAAAGTAAGGATAAAGAGATTGAAATTCACGACACGACTTACGAGGCGTTCAAAACAATCATTTGGTACTTATATTCGTACGAATTGGCCATCGATTCAGAGGAAATGTTAATTGATTTGGACTTTCAGTACGAAGTCTATAGACTCGCCGATAGATTTCAAATCAAACGACTTCTCATTTATTTTGAAAATCAATTGAAAGCAAACATTACTGAAGAGAATCTGGAATTGGTTTCAAGAATTAGTTTCGATTATAAAATCAATTCTTTGATGATTTCTGTGAAGAAATTTATTGATAAAACATTTGACAAATTGATTCTCGAAGACAAGGATTATGTGAAGAAAATCAATGGATTCACTGATGACTATATGTTTGATAAGACAATTGAAAGTTCGCGTAAAAAGATGCGAATTGTGTGAAAATATCGTTGATATAAATGCTTTCATTTACTAATTGTTTGAATTATAATTCCTGTAAAACTTTCAAATTCATATAACATTTACATAATTTTTTGACACATTTTCAGAGAAAACTTTTCATAACTTTTATTTTCACATACTTTATGTGTATTACTAAACATGTATTTTATATTAAAATTTTTAATATACATTTAACTAAATGATTAAATTTGTATCTAAATAACCATTTCATATAAAATATACTTTATTTATATGCAAATATGCAACACATTAATCAATCAACTGATCACAATTCTGTGGTAACCTTGATATA